AGACGTCCACGTAAACTTATGAATGTTACGATGAGTGAACATTGTCCTTTTGGCAGTTAGATTGTTAGATGTGGCAAGGTTTCCTATTTTAATTCCATTATCATTACTGACATCGTGTAAACTGTCGCTCCCTGTTGTTGGTTTGAAAATATCTTCGCTAGCGACTTTGGCTTTGAAAACGTCCTTGGAATAAAAAATATTGGCAATTTCAACGAAAAAATCTCAGCAAAACATAACTCCACAGCGAGAGATGATGAAATGCGCGGCAAGCAATCCCGTCATAGAGTAGTTCAAACCACAGATAATATACTTCCTTCCTCGGACCGACTGTATGTGTTTTCCTGATGCTGAATGCCGCGACAGTGCTTGTAATGCGGAAGAACTTGCATAATCGAGTTGAGAGAAGTTGGCCATGAAGTTCTGGGAGAAACCTAATGACGCCGCTTTCTTTTAAATATTATAATTTATAAAGAGGTTTATTGCAGCCAGACACAAGTAAGACCGGTCGTGCTTTTACTAAATAAAGCAGTTTTTTCATGGAGTAAGACATTATTTATTCTAATTACTAATTTATATACATTTCTTACTCCATGTAACTGCGTCCTTTTTTTGAGAAGCCATCAGTTGCTCAGGTACTCAAGAATTTCCCAACATTTTATGGAACCCGAAGGTTCATTACCTTCTTCACAACAGCCCTCCACTGGCCCCTATATTGAGCCAGATTAATCCAGTCCATTCTACCCCACCCTATTTCTCTGAGATCCATTTTAATATTGTTCTTCACCCTATTTCTCTGAGATCCATTTTAATATTGTTCTTCACCTACGTCTAGGCCTTCCTAATGGTCTCCTTACTTTTGCCTTTCCCACTAAAACCCCGTATGCATTCTCTTATCCAATTTCATGCTACATGCACTGCCAATCTCACCCTCCTTGACTTTGTCATTCTGATTGTATTTGGCGAAGAGTACACGTATGAAACTCCTCGTTATGCTACTTTCTCCAGCGTCCTATTATTTCATCGTGGTCATGTGATCTATACCTCCCAAAGTGCGTTTCCCACCCCAATCACTAACGCAACCCGTATCCCTAAGAAAAAGACCCCATGTTACTGCCGTGGCAAACATATTATCGACACCACTGGCAACTGCGGGAATCCCCGAGTCGGCTCACAGGAGGACCCCGGAGGCTGGTTTCTTTGGGACGGCTGCAATACTTACCCCTATACAGGATGCTAAGAAAAGGTTACGGGCTTTAAGGGGTATAGTACTCGTGACCAAAAACGTTCCCAGTCAACATTCACGTATGTCCAGAAGTCAGTGCCTGCTCAGATATGGGCGATCAGTGCCTTGGTGGGCATCTTAGGAAATCAGCTGTCGTACGTAACAGACTGTCAGGTGCAGTGTACCATCGGTTTCTGTTTAATGATTTGCCAGTGTTCTTGGAACATGTGCCTCTTCATCAACCACAACACACGTGGTTTATGCATGATGGGACACAACCTCATTTTCTCCTAGTGTCTGACGGCACCTGAACCAAACTTTCGGTGAACAGTGGATAGGATGCGGAGGCCCAGTAAACTGATCTGCGTCATCCCCTGACCTTAATCCGCTGAATTTTTGACTGTTGGAACAACGAAAGACTTCGGTGGATTGAGTGCCGATCAGTTACATAAAAGTATTACAGTAGCGAATAGAGAATGCCTCTCAGGAGATTCGAATGAAACGAGGAATCTCCGTCAGAGTGCGCACCTCTGTGCCACGAAGAGCTGAAAGCTGTGTTCAAATGCATGGGAACCACATGCAGCATCTGCTGTAGAGATCACACGAACATCGACTTTATCTTAGCAGGCAGTGGTTCTGGACATACGTTGAGATTCTTTTCTGTCCATATAAGTGAGTACTGTACCCCCTTAAGGCCCGTAAACAGTAGGAATTTCCTTTTATAGATTTATGTCATATGAACATAATTGAAATATGAGTTGTTTTGCCCCTTATTAACGACGTCCAAGTGATGTGACTTCGAGTAGAGGAATATTATGTGTTTGATTCATTCTGAGGGATACGCAAAGAACGGTCTCTTCCATCTTTAGATGTTATCCGAGCGCTTGTCTGTGGGGGACTGAAGAAAACACTCGAACCTTCTGTCATGATATCGGGCTTCGGGGCCGAAAATTGAGTCGTGGAGTATTGGAATGTGTGTCAGGAGCGCTAAGAATTAAACCACGCGTTCGTATGCAATGAATAAAGTCAGTAGGGGTCTTCATGGAGCCGGGATAGCACAGTCGGTATAGCGACTGGCTACGGGCTGGACGACCGAGGAGTCGGGGTTCGGATCCTGGTGGGATCAACAATTTCCTCTTCTCCGCGTCTTCCAGACCAGCTCTGGGTCCACCAAGCCTCCTATCCAGTGAGTGCCAGGGGTAAAGCGCCCGGGGCTTGAAGCTGACCACTCACCTCCAACTAGTGCCGAGGTCAAGAGAATGTGGAGCTATGCATCGATTCCTCTATACTCGTATGCCTTCATGTCGTAGTGTTTAATTATTTAAGGACAGGGACAACTTTACCATTACCTTAGTAGGGGTCTTCTTCTGAAAAGAAAACAGTAAGTCTTCTTTGTTGTGACGTCATCTTACGGTTACTTGCACAAGTGGAATGTTTTACTGTAGTCACTTTCCGAATGACAGCACTCAGGGACCTGTTAAACAACTTTAAGATGCCTCCACACGCCACAAAGGTCAGTAGGGGAGACATCAACCCGCTTTCCCAAAAACTTGATTTTCTTACATAGGCTTCACAGATTTATATTCGTATCAGTGTTAATTTCCGTTACCGTTTAACAAAAAATAGTTTAACTTTCGATCAGTTTATCCCTTTGCAGTTCATAGCAGCTGATGCAGGTATGCCTGGTACTCGATAGAGCGAGCAAAGGATCCCATCGATTTCTCTTCTGTGACGTTTACGACTAGATATCGGTACTCTCTGGATCTCCGGGTTCTTGATGTTTTCTCCACGTTATCTATCTATCTATGTCTATGGCTCTAAAGCCCTTATGGACCCTGGGCACTTTTTCAGTTTCTTAATCTATATGCATTCGGTAAGACTCCTCGAATGGGGCATCAGTCCTTTGCAATGCCGCTACCTACACACAGAACAACACAAACACAGAATAAACGCACAGACATCCATGCCTCGGGTGGGATTCGAACCCACAATCCCAGTGTTCGAGCAGGCGAAGGCTGTTCATGCCTAAGACTGTGCGGCCACTCTTGTCCACATTACCTTCAGGTAATCTCTGTCCTTGAACTGATTCAGAATATTTTTCGGTAGAAGTCGTTGATATCAGAAGCTTTAAATTATCAGGACATGCTGGCCACATTTGTGACCTCGTTTGGATCAAGGTCACAGATGGTGCGAGGCAGAAGCTTGTTCTAGTCCCAGAGGCTGATATCCAAATACCGGACAAATGCAGCAAACATGTGGAAGATATGACGTTCTTACAGTGGTGACTATAAAGATGACTTCTGGGATATGACGACACATAACAACATATTGCCTCCATCCCCAGGGTTGAAGAGTAGGCCAGTCATGGAAGCAGTGGTATGGTGACAGAGTATGAGGCCCTTGAAAGGGTCCTTTTCCAAGAGTGGACAAATTGTGGGAAATAGTGGCTCTAAATGAACCTTTGAGTGGTGGACGGATGTAAGGAGGAATATGAAGAAGGCCTTAACAAGGGGACACAAACTGTGATAGCTTGAACACCTATATTGTGGGTTGGCATAAATGTACTGCCCTTTCCTCCCAAATAGAGATATTATAATCCACCATCCAATGAGTCATAGATTAAATAGAGCAGAAAACTTCATACCCTTGACTAAAATGGAAGAAGTATACAGGCAAAGAAATAAAATGGACAGCTCATAAGTATCACATGAGCTAAATGTATTTTCAATAAGAGGATCAGTAATTAAAGGCGCAAGCTCTAAATTTGAATGTACAGGAATACTGTATGATCTCTGCTGGAGAATTATTTTATCAGTATGAAGTTCAAAATTTGCATCTTGAAGTGTAATCTACTTACAGTGGAGATAGAACTGTGACAGTAAATGGCAGGCTACAAATGAGTGCCCTGGATTCAACTTTCTATATGGACATTTTATATTTGTCTTGTAATCATGTTGAGAACTGCATAATGGGAAATGTTGTTCAGGTTCTTGCAATCACCTTATTATCTAGCTAATATTTCAGTTTACTGTGCACTTCATGTACATATGGAATAGGCACAAATTATGTGTAAATAAACAAGAGATTTCTGTTAATGCCATACCTGGGCTGAATTTTTCAATTTATCGAAATATTGTGTTGGACATCATCCATTATCTCGAGTATATTTGGTTTACATAACTCTTTGGAAATTTTATATGTGTCAGCTATTAGGTGTAAGGGGAAAGGATCCTACTCAGTTTGTTCCATTAGAAAGAGCTAGTCTGGATTACTTCGGACAGCCTTTCCAGTCTCCTTACACCTGATGAAAGAAACTGTTCCAGTTTGAAATATTGTGTGCATCAGATATTCCCAAAACAATGGGCAGTGTCCAATGTAATATTCATGTAATGCATCAACCGTTGTAACAGACACCTAGAAAACCATTGTTCATTTCTGTTGTATAATTGTATTGGTCTTACAGCTCTAACACTTCTTCACAGTCATTGTCAAAAAAACTCTTGTCAGCTGTTGACTTCTTCCCTATGCTTAAGTTAAAATTCAAGAGTTCAGGGGAGGAGATTGTCAAGTAACTACATTAGTTTGTCACGCATTTGCAAATCAGACTAGGGAAAAACAATGAAGCAGCTGAGAATTGCTTACACTTGAAGGAGCGATATTGAAGCTTGTACCTCATTCACTGACAATATATATTGCAGTATAAGGTCATATGTTTACACTTATATTGGGTAGTATTGACATGATTGTCACCTTTATCCATCCACTGACATTGTTTCAGATACCGAAAGCCAACACGAGGGTCACTACAGACCTCCGAATACACAGCTGCAGTAGCAGCAAGGAATGCGGCATTACAAGAGCTTGATAGTATATCAGTACATCGTGGACTTGATGATATAGAGAAACCTTCATTCTCACGCTCAACAAGTAGTACCATTAGCAGGTGAGCAGAGGAACTGAAATAATCAGAATGAGATTATACTCATTCCTGTTGTGTGAAGAATTGTTTTCCAGTCTGAAATCAACTGTACTGCCAGATGTGGAAATTAGTGTTCATCTTCTATAGCATGTGCAGATAGGTACTGGAAATAGATGAATGTTTGGAATTGTGCAGTGCTGTGTAGCGGTTTATCATTATTTTAAGTAACTGTGTACCTTCTGAAGAAAGACCTGAAACAAAATTTTAGTTACACTGTATTGTGAAAAATATTTGACCCACTATGCCAGAGAAGAGTCTGATATCATTGAACCTGTTTTAGTGACTGAAACACTAGTTGCTATGCTTACTTTGAGCATTGACTGGATAATACCTTAAAAGAGATCCCATATCTGTATTCCATACTACTTCATAATTCATAGCTGTTTATAGTAATTAGCAAAACTTACTACTGTTGTCTCAATGCAGTTCATGGGGTTTTGTTACACAAGGCAAGAAATCCAGCCAGCTGGTCCATAATGAGCTCTAGATGCGCTGTAAGTCCATGGAGTGTGCAGTGAAGCATGTATTGAACCTCAAGGGTAGACCTTAGTTTTGTGAGGCTGCATTTCCTATTTTCAGTGTAATGGAATGGATGCATTTAATGTCACCACTACTTTGCAAATTCTTGTACACTGTTGGCTTGTGTGTTGTTTCGGCATAAACCAACCATATCATAATTGCACCTTGAAATTGGAGTCAGACATTAATTATTGTGTATCTCCTTTGGATTTGAAGAAAGCAACTGTCATATATTCTGCTTCCGATTTTAGCCATCAATCTATAACCCTTCCTGGAAGAACTAGGCATTAAAAAGAAAGTGTGTGTGCATATGCATTTACACATTCTATTTGTAACACTGATTTTTTAATCCAGATAACCATTACTCAACCTTTGCTTCCATTTTCTTAGAAATCCTTCCTTGATATTTATTGGGTTCACTTCCCAGAATTCTTAAGCTACAAATATTTGACTTGCATGGGGAGCTAGTCTATGGCACAGCAGCCAATCTGGGAAGAAAACAGAGACAAGTAGTACAACTGACAGTGATGAAAAACAGACAAACATCCATCAGAGTGTGTCTGTGTGGAACCCATAAGATTGATAATCGACTGGGAACCTGGTTCATCCATAAAATATAGTTGATGTTGTGGCTGTTGTATTATAACAGCTGAATATTTGTACATATGTCTACCTTTAAACACATACCCCTTAACTGCAATCTGCTTCCATGCAAGAGTGAAACACATATTTAATCACTAACCACACAGCACGATTTGAAAATGTTAATTTAGTTATAACAGATGTTAAACAGAACACACAACTTGTTCCTGATGAGACTTGCATTTGACAATTTTTTAATGAAGACCCTTGGTTTTTTTGGTCTACTGTCCATTATTTTATAGTTTACTTCATATTTTTTTAAATTTTTATTTTTCTAAGATTCAGTATCCTGTTTGGTGAGTGTATTTTGTATATGTGTCCTTGTGTTTTAAAATGTGTGTATCCTGAAAGTGTGTTGTCTTGACTAACTGAAAATATACAGTACACAGTTAGATGGAAGAATGGGCTCTTCCACTCTCTTGAATTATAATTTCTAATGTACATATTCCACACTCACAGGCATTTCTTTGCTTATGTAATGACACTATGTTGGCACAGATGCTTTGGTAGAGAGAGATTGATGATGGTGACATGGAAAGGATATGGAGAAAGTAGTCATATCCTACTTAAGGTTCAATCCTGGCTTTTTCCAAAATAAACTGAGGATATCCATGGGAACTTAGAATTGCCAGTGTGTCAGCCAAGATTCAACCTGAGCAGCTCCTAAATATATGTCTGGAATGCTCTATTTACAGCTTGTTCTCAGCCATAAAGATGTGCAGCAAATTAACAAAACATATGATTTCCCAAATTATAGAAATATGTTGTTCTATAACTTCACTTGCCTGAGGATGGAGGCAGAGTCTGGTCTTAATTTAAAAAACGGGACAATGAATAATCTCCAAAAGATCAATAATTGTATAGCTTTACTTACATTACTTAATGAATCAAACATTGTCACAAATTTTTAAGAAATCACTGGATACCCCATATGGACCTAGACCAAAAGGTAATTCAGAGTCATCGGTATACTTGCCAAGTTTTTTAAAATGTTCTATGTTCAGTTCCAATACCTTCATGGCTCAAAATAAAGAAGTAAAAAGATTTTATGATAACAGACCATCACTAGAAGACAACAGCTGAGCCACCTCTTGAAATGTTGTTGTATCAGAAATATCTCAGACAGTGGCCATCATAAAACATAAAATTGGTAAAATTAATTAACCATTTTCACATACCTTTAGAGATTAACCCATAATAATATAAGCCATAGGCAGTTTTAGTTATCAACCCCAGTTACTCTTGATTTAAATAGAACTTTGTGAAACAAAAAAGTTGTTCTTCTTTATAAGTTTATAAGAACACTTTTAAACACACTTTAGAAGCTTGGGATGAAATTTGCAGCCATAGGTTTCTACAGAGGAACTAAATATTAAATTGCATAACATAACAAAGACAACAACAACAAGGCACACATGGGAGACTTTTCTAAATAAACCTCCTGGATTTCTGTATACAAAGTTTGGTTTCCCAGAGGTAACTGAAGGATGTGATACTTTAAGTAGTATGGTTCTAATGTATTTTTCTTTCCTCCATATAGACTCTTCAGCAGAGGTAAGCAAGAGGTAAAGGGTCGTTTACTGGAGCCATCTGAGGATGTAGACGACATAGATCTTGTGGTGGACTTCAGGAGATACAGCAGGGACAAAAGTCTAAATGCATCACAGCAAATGACACCACTCTGAACTAACATTAATCATTGGCAGTTAATGTGCCTGCCTTTGAAACTAGTATATCAGAAACTGGTTTGGGTTTCTGGTCTCTGCAGCCACAGCTCTTTACTGAATGTAACAGGAATAACTTGCAAACTGAAGAAACTACAATTACCAAGATCATTGGAAATGTATGATATGAAATTTTATTATTACATCACAGATATGTTTATACCTCATATTTAACAGCTTTGACACTTTTCTAAGTTACCACAGACATTACATATTTCTTAGTTACAGAGTACTTACTTTATTACCAACTGCTGGATGATATTGTTTCTAATATTAAGCAGGATATTTAGGAGACAGTGATAAAGTTATAAAAGGTAATCTTCACATTGTTGGTCCTACATATATTCTCATTTTTAATACATTATATCTTTCATATGAATGAAAACAATGGAACTTTATAGTTCCTTTATATTATCATTATAATGTTCAGAACAATCATCTTTCATCATCAACACCACCATGTTTTCTGTGTATATGCTTGCACATATCAATTTTCTTGAATATGTTTAGTCTATATATTTTTAGCAAAATGCAGGCTTTGAAAACTTACACCTTTAACAGCTTCATGTATTATATTTTTCATTACACAGCACAACAATCTTTCACCTTTGTTTCTCAATGCATGTAATAAGCTTTATTTTACTTAATTGAGTACACCAATCACAAAAATGAGTGCCGAGATTTGTAAAATGTAATTTCATTCCTTTGTTATGCTGTATTATTTTTGTGTGCAAGACATAACATGTACATATCACTTATGTTATTCAAATAATAATAAATGTTTATTCACTAAAAAAATCATTCATCATGTTATGGTTGACAAAAATTATATTGAACAATAAGAAATAAATTCCGACGTGAAAGGAACTCGCTGTTTTGACTCAAAATTAAATACACAAAAATGTAATGTTCTGGAAAACTTTTGTATCCAGATTTTGAATAAGCATATCAGAATTAATTTTAAACAGTATTTTTCTTTGATATTATCATAACCTCATTGACTAGTTTTATTCTTCCCACGGTTTCACTACTTATGTAAAAACAGGGGAATGGAGGTGATCTCCTTGCTCAATATCCATCATGAACGTACACAGAACCGTGGGATAAATTGAGATAGACGCCCTGATGTTTGACTTTTAAGTACACAACATATATTTAAATTATTTAAAATTTATGCAAATCATTGGAAACAACAATGTGAAGAAAGAGTGATATGAGACTGTAGTTATCCCAACCTCAAATGAAAATGAGATGTATATTCTGCATAGTATATGAGAAACTAATGTCACTGTAGTTGCAATACCAGCGAAGGGACTCTAAAAATTATGACAGATCTCAGTTGATAGAATTGGTCATGGTCACTGGGTACCCTTCCATTATATTTACATTATAGTGGCCTTTGTTTTATGAATATGTGCCAAGAGAAAAAGACAGACTGGATCAGAGTCATTAAGTAAGTTTCTCAAGAAAACATGCCAATAAGGATATAAATTTGTGTATGAGAAGTTTTGATGATTAGTAGCTAAATCAGGTAATGAAGTGATTGAAATTGGATTACTTACTATTATATTGTATATTTTTGTGGGAAGAATAAATGCCTTTACAAATCCTGTAATTTGTGTAATTGTATATATAATGTAAACATAAATCAGTGAGGACTTCAATCATCATGGCTGTCATGTAGGGACCCATGTGTTAGCTATAGATAAGCCCTGTTAATGTATGCTGGTGATTCCCAAATATGAAATCTATGACTTAAAAGAGTATGTACATCTCCTCTTAGTAAAGAATTTCTCTCTTTTGTACGCTTCAGCCAATCCATCGTATGGCTCTTTAAATTCACTTTCCTCTTGAAAAGAAAGGAAGCTGATTTAAATGTATGTATTAACCATGTCATGTGAACAATCCAGAAACTAAAGTGGTTGCTAAAACAAATAGATCAGTAGCACCTGTATCTATTTTTAAATTTCTTATGAAATACTAATTTTTGGTGTTACATACTTTTACACCCCCCCCAAAAAGAAACGTTTTTAAACCACAGTTTATAAATCACCTGTGACAAATACAGCTATTCAGATATATATTTTCTGAGCGCTTTTCCATATTTCTACTAGTAGCTGAAGTTAAGGTCCTAATTTTCCAACAAGATGGTGCACCAGCCCATTTTGGTGCCATTGTACACACTTCTCTGGACATACAATTTCCTGGTCGTTGGATTGGCAGGGGAGGGTCACTTAATTGGCCCTCAGAGTCCTGACATAACACCCATGGACTCCTTCTTCTGGAAGTACATCAAAGACATCATGCACTGTGAAAGGTTAGTCTCTTCCCCACATTTGCACCGAAGGAATTACAGCAGCTATTGCCGCAGTACCAATGGATGTGCTCTCTTGGATGTGGGGTGAAGTGAAATTTTGTTCCAACATCTGTAGGACCGTCAGTGTTGCTCACGTTGAATTGCACTAAACGATAGTGAAACGTGGGGAGATTATCCAATAGGTTTTGTTAATAAGAAATATGTCAAACCAGTGACTAAATATTTGTAACTAGAACTGTGGGCACACAAAGGAAACTAGCAACTGCAACGCAACTACAATTTCCGAGAATTGTTAGCGTGAGTTGAACGTATTACAACATGGAGCAGCGCAAATTGAGGAAACGGCAACGCCAATCGCGGGGAGATTGACAAAATCAATTTTCAGGCAACGGACTGTGCCAGCCTTCTCACAATCCTCACAATTGTGTTGCCGCGTGGTTTCCTAGTAACTTCAGTGATTCATTTGCTTGTTAGTGTGACACGAAAGGTTGACGAAGCTGCTAATTTTGTTTTTCTGCAGTTAACTGAGCAAGAGCCTGGTATGTATGGCAAACGCCACCCAGAATATGCTAGGCGGGAAAAAATAGACTTTGCCTGGGAAAGAATTTCTCATGAGATGAAAGAGTCTGGATCCAGATTAAATCCTTTTGAAACAATATAAGTGCTTCAGTTTAAATTGTTACAGAAGAACGGATGCACCCAATGTTTTCTTTTCCTAATATTGTATTTAAGCTTCCTGTTTCATTAATATATACTTTACTTCACATACAACTTACTGTAGTCACCCTTCATCCACATTACATGGTTCGGCTATATCCGGCCATCATGATGATCTTGCTAAAATTGTTGCACTGTATGTCAAAAATTCGTAATGCGTGCGAACGCGATATTGTGATGATTAAAATAAATTTACGTTAATTAAAACAATTTAATTAACATCCCAATAGTTTTCTTATGGTCGTCGTTCTCTCTTCTCATACCGTCGCAACCGGTCTCACCTACCACCACAGTATGACAGGATCAGTATTACTGGCTTACATTGCAGAAGGTAAGTGCACGAAATTAAAGAAAAATACAGTCATGCATTACGTTGAACGAAAATAGCCACTTAAGATGATGTGAACAAGTATTATCACGCAGGAATGTTATGTAACCATAAATTTTTTGTGTCATTGCAAGCCACATAGAAGTTTTACATTTTGTTGAAGTTAAAAGTGGATCAAGTTTGAAATTGTACATACAGATTCGCATGCAAATCGGAATCATGTAATTGTTTCAGGCCTGCGACTCAGCGGCACGAGACCTCAAGTAACTCATCTGCTATAAGAGGAAGGAGTTTGTTGCTGTACAGTCATAATGAGCAAGTACAGCATTTCTCTGACGTCCATTATGCTGTCCTATCATCCAGGCATGGCTGGCTATGCCACCAGAATCTCTGCATGTCAAGACTGAAGTGAAAATATGTTCATGTCAGGACTGAAATGAAAATCTGTACATATCAAGGCTGAAGTGAAAATCTGGGCATGTCAAGACTGAAACATGACAGGAAGTTACTATTACAGTATTACAGGAAGAAATGTCAGTTTGATGTATGTGACCAGAGGATTGATACTTATTTGTCCAACAAACTGCCTCTCTTGCTTTACTATGTTTGCATGAAGGAGGGTAACGCATATGCGTGATATCATCTGACTTTGTGTCTTGCTCTGATGCGTTCTATGCGCAACATCGGTTACTATTCACTTTTCTTTATTGACACTACGTGTTTCAGCCCAACCAGCCATCTTCAGGTGTACAGGTTGTTTTGATTGCAGAATCTGCTGCTCACTGTAATGCTGTTTTGTTTCTGTTATGTGGAGGCCTCAGATTGCATCTGGTTATGTGGGTTAGTCATCTGTTTTTTTATTTAGGTGTCCTTGAGCAGCTGGTGTTTGCTTCATGGTTTTGTTTGGCTGTGACTGTCTTGAATATTCTTGCTGGGGCAGGAATTTGTTGTGTTGATGCCCAACCACAGCACAACAAATATGCCCAGCTCAAGGACACCTAAACAAAAAACGGATGGTTAACCCACAACCGGGTGAAATCGGAGGCCTCTACATAACAGAAACAGAACAGCATTACAGTGAGCAGCAGGTTCCATGATCACAACAACCTGTACACCTGAAGATGGTAGGTTAGGCCAAAACATGTAGTGATGACAAAGAGAAGACTGTGAAAAAATGTGAACTGACATTGCACACAGACGGCATCAAAGCAAAATGCAAAGTCAGATCTCAGCAGTGCAACAGAATGCTGCAATGTAACATTATACCTGATATCAGTTTTTACGTAAAATTCATTCATGGTCTTCTGGCTTATGACATGGTTACCAAAGTTTTCTGCTCGTCTGTTGAAGCCAGGGGCAGTATGTTCTCTGGTAACCATCTACCAGGCAACACAGTGTCATAACTTAGGAGACCAGAATAAGATTTTTCACCATTGTGAAAGATTAAAATCTGATGCTGTGTAAAATTGTTTGTATATTCAAATCTGGTGGATATTGTAAGGAGTAATCACTAAACCATAGTAGTTCTGTTTTTCCTTATAAAGGAAAGAACTTGAGAGGTAAAGCTATCCCTGTAACAGGCTGTGGAGGCCCCTAGGGTTGTCAGATGTTGAGGCTCCCACATTTTCTCTAGGCAATCAGCTCACCAATGGCAGGAAGGTTGTCAGCCTTGCGCGCTGGTCACCCTTTACCCCCCCCCCTCCCCATGAAGATTGCTGGTACTCATTTCTGTTAGAGGCCAATTACAGACACTGCACAGTGTATATAAAACTAATTAAATTTAAGCACTGGAGCAAAGACACATTCATGCAATTAATGTTATTAATAATTAAATTCAATTCATGTTTATTTACCTGAAAACTTAACAGCACAATGGCCAGTTACAAAGTTGCATGAGTACACAGAAATACACAAAAATAATTAAAAAACAAAATATGACACTCTATACAAGGGCAATAAATTAATAATAATTACAAGAAAAACTATAAAGTTATCATTGACAGGAGAAAAAAATTGAATATGTAAATTTCCAGTGGTTATGCCAACTTGTGTAATAATAATAATAATAATAATAATACAATTCATGTTTATTTGTTTGCAAGCTTAACAGCACAGAGGCCAATTACAAAGTTGGCATAAGTACATAGAAATACACAAAATAACTAAAAAAAAACAAAATACAAAATAAGACAGTCTACCTAATGGCAATAAATTAATGATAATTCCAATAAAAATTGAAGTTAGCGTTAACAGGTGAGAAAAATAAAATAAGTACATTTTGAATGGTTGTGCTATTATGTGGCGAGAAAGGACAAACCTATACATACACACATAGAAGTTAATAATAATAACAATAACCAAATTAATTCTTACTTATTTGTGTGGCAGCTCACCATCCTTATAATAATAATAATAATTCAATTCATGTTTATTTATGTGCAAACTTAACAGCACAGAGACCAGTTAAAAGGTCAGCAGGAGTACATAGAAATACACAAAAATAATTAAAAAAACAAAATACAAAATTTGAGAGTATATAATGGCAATAAATTGATAATAATTCCAAGAAAAATAAAACAAGACTAATATACGTACATACACAGGCCACGCCATAGCTCAAGCGGTTAGTCTCTGGCTTCCCACCGTGGAGGCCTGGGTTCGAGCCAGTGTCTGATCAAGTGGGATTTGTGGTGGACAAAGTGGCGCTGGGGCGGGTTTTCTCCCAGTACTTCGGTTTCCCCTGCCAATTTTCATTCTACCAAATTCTCCATCATAATCACCCGGGGAAGGCTACAATAGTCCAATCAGTGGCCGCCGTACCAAGTTGACCCAGTTGGACTCCACCCCCCACTAAGCGAATTTAATTTAAATTGTACCTACATACACACACGTAATATTAGGAGTATTAACAAATATTATTAACAATTTCAGGTTCAATGTGATTGACAGAAACTGTACTGATTGCAAATATGTCGAGATCTTTACCCACCGCGTTGGCAGCACAGGCGAATCGAGCAGGGCAGTGTTTATTAGAGGGACAAACACCAAACAATGAGAAGTCCGTAAGATTGCTGGGAGGAACATGAAGGCTAACATTTTCCAAAAGAGAAGGGCAGGATTTAAGACAAAAGACCTGAACAAAAAAAAGTGCATCAAGGTGATGTCTCCATTTATGTAAAGAATGTAGACTTAATTTCTCTAAAGCATCAGTATAAGTATATGGAATATGAGGGTAAAAACGATAAAAATAGATGGACACAAACTTCTGCTGGATGTGCTCAAGCTTATTGGTATCAGTCTAAGTGATGGAGTTCCAAACTTGGACCTGACTAAAGTAAAGTATAGTACATACAAACACTCCAGGGAGGAAAATCTATAGGTAATGGAGTGAATAAGGCCTAAAAGCTTTATGCATTCAGAAAATATGTAATTAAGATGTGCGTGAAAATGTAGCTTTGAATCAAAGAAAACACCCAGGTCATTAATACTGCTGGTGCGTGTAATGATAGCATGACAAAGCTGATATTCGTAGCTCAGAAAATTTAGCATTTTCTGTGACAGAACTGTGTCTATATTCCCATTGTTGTATGTTGCAGTTCTTGCAGGCAACACGCATTTTGATGTAGTGTGGTATGGGAGTTCCACAGTGAAACCTGTCTAAAGCATTATATCAGCTTCCACTTCGATTGGACAAAATTACTTTCATGTATGTCTTACAGAAGTGTTAGAAGTTACAAACGTTTGGTAAAGTTTTTGTGTATGTGTAAAATGGACTCTGTATGCTTGCACCTTACCTCTCTTTTGCTAGTTTTTATCGAATAAAGTACAGCCAATGATATCTCTTTCCCAAAACTCATCATGTAGACTGTGGCTCTCATCTGCATACAGTATCAGCGTGTGGCAGTTTGGATTAATTGATAGTGGACTTTTCTAAACACCTGGTAACTTGAAAAACTGTTGTCTTCTTAGATGTGAGGCCATGTAGACTGGTAGAATGTTACCACCACTTTGGAGGAACATGTAAAGTGATAAGACCCTGAAGATGGAGGCCTCACATGCCTCAGAAGTGTTGGTAACATTGTACCAGACTACATGGTGTCACATCCCAGAAGACTGAAATCTTCGTGTTTACAGGCATATTCCTATGGATGATCTTAGCCGAAGACTTGTTCACTTAGATAGTATACATTGTAATTGCACATACAGGGAATACACAGTCATGAGTAGATAACAGTTGGTTTTGATTTGACATGGGAGTTGTAGGAATTGAGAACTGAGAGTTGTGTGTTCTGTGTTTGTCGATACTCCTGAATTGCATGGCAACAGTGAAGAGGCTACGGCTGGTACTTGGAATGGAGAGTACAGCATTCTGAGTTGTAGCAACATGTAGTTCAGAGAGAGCCCCACGTTTTGGAGGTGACATTCTTCCTAAACATTGGGCCATCTCCAAACTACACATTGCTACAATGCAGGACCCTGAACTACTTATAGACATCGCCATGAAAGCATCAAATCAAACATGGTACTCAGAATGTCTGTGTAAGATATGTAAGTTGCTGTCTGATTGCAAAGGTAATTGTAAGTATAAATTGGATAGGAACTGCTTCAGCTTTGGGGGTTGGTGGGGAGATGTTAAGGCATTTTTCTAATTGGTACAGTTAGAAATTTCTTGGCAGCTAATTCCTCAATAATCTGACAAGCCATAGTGGACAATTAGGAATCGTATTGATGTAGAATTCTGTAATACAAGTTTATGGAAGTATGACTGCCATAACTTGGCCATGATAAAGACAGATGGGTTGCAGCATAGTGAAGGCAATATGAATCACTGTTGAATTGTAACATAATCCATAGAATGTTTGACAGTTTGGGACTTACACTGTTGCAAGATATTTTACATTCATTGTATCAAAAAATTATATACACTGAAGCAAATATAAACATTCTGATGTATATGAGGCTGTTTGGATCCTTCTGGGTGGGATATTTATAATTTATTTTAATAAACACTCTTCAGAGCCGATTATATCTTTTGCTTCATGTTTTAGGAAAACCTGTTATGTGTACACCCTAAGGATGTCTGTACAGATACAGATGACACATGTAAGGGGAAATAAGAATTTTACACACATTGTCAAGGGTTTTATTTGATAGATCCATACAGGTCAGTCGACTCCCCTGATGCAGGAGAGATTGATCTGCTGCGAGCCTTGCGTTGTCACAGGAAAATGCAGGTCAATATGGGCAGAACATTAATGTCCTGAACAGAGTTTGAGGTCACCTGTGACTGTATGCATCTGTGAAAATGCAGCCAACTAGTTAGCCTTCATCCTCGCTGTTACATATTTCTGCTTTACATCGTGCTGTCAGGAATGACTGGAATTGAATGTCCCCAACTGAGTGCTGATGGCTTTAATACAACCAATAAAGAAATAAAGACAAGTAAAGTTGTCCCTGTGCTCAGTGCAGCACCGCACTCAGAATATGTACAGGGTGTAAATAAAATGAAGTATATGAGAACGTACAAAACATATGCCATAAGAGTCGCATTGTAAATGCAGTTAACAAATAATTTGAAAATATTTAAGAATTTTAATGTCTGGGATGAATAATATTAAAAAAATAATTGGATTAGGAGTAAATTCTGGAAAATTCTTGTCTTTTTATAAAAAAACCTATCTTGAATACTTCAGAACACCAAAACGTTAAATAAAATTTACTGGCATGTTGAAAGAATACACATTGGAAGTGTTTATGGAGGTAAGTAAAAATGCTTTCACTTCGACACATAAAAA